GTTATGCTCTCAAATTATGCTGTCTTTATTCCTGAGTTATACTGACTAGCAGGTTTGGTCAGTCCTGGAACTTGTCTTGGAGTGCCCGAATTACTTGAGGCTCCGCACCGCACTCAAGGCTTCATTCAATGCTCGAGTCAACCGGGCTTTGAATGGAAAAGCAAGGAAGAAAAGAGAGAGAAGATTGAAACTCGAGGAACGAGGGGGGAGATGAAGGAAAAGTAAAGGGAGAAGAGGCGAGAGAAGCCTTGAATGGGTGTAAGTCGGGGGGGTGAGTGGAGAACTAAGGAAAGGTAGGTAGGCCTACCTCTACCTACCTACAGCTAGAGCTAGGTACAGAGCCAAGAGACGCGAGACAGCTTCTGAAGGAATGAGGTCGAGCAAGTACCTATACGTACCGTTTTCAGTTGAATGGGAGCTCCCGTCCGTTGAAATGGAGCGAAAGTGGAGGAACAACAACGGCAGAAATGAACCAGAAGCACTCAACGAACAGGGCTTCAGCGGGCGAAATTGTGAGACAGATGGCGCACAAGGGGGGCTTTGATCCCCTGCCAGTCACTTTCTAGGTTGGGATAGGTACCGTAACTGGTTTCTCCTAGTTTGGTGCGCCGGGCATTTATCAGTAAACAAGGAGGGTAGGAACTGAAAACAATTGAGTCGTATTTGTCGGCGCAGTCATGCAGAACAGATAATGTGATTATGTGTAACCAATCTTTTCGCGTGTAAGTGAGTGACTGTGTACCTAGGTGAATATGCTGGTGTTGACTCTTTGTCACAGTCTCACAGACAAATAACTCAACGAAAATGAAACCCCTATGCTTCTAGATCCCTCCTTACAGTCAATAAACATCTTACACTACCCGTAGTCTACTTAGTGAAGCACCTGCAAAGTCAAGGCAAGGGGATGCTGTCCGTTTCTCAAACAGAACAGACGATGCATGTACCGGTACCTGACGTACCGTACCTACATTAGGGGCTAGATGAGGAGCTACAGAGGTCAAATCCCTCCACCCATTGAGGGGCCAGGATGCTGGGGCCGTCAGGGGCACTCTGCACGCCTTCTGCAGGGGTCATGGGTCCCTAGGTCCCGGGTACATGGCGGACAGCACGGCGGTATTTTTATTCATGGCGCTCAGCGTTGGACGCGACGTACCTACGTTACGACCCGTGAACGGACCTCATATAGTAGGTTCGGACGTTGTGATATTCATTTGGTTAGAGTTAACCAAGTCATGCAGATTTCTTTGCTTTGTTCTCGTCATCAGGGAGAAAGAAGTTCCATGACATGTCATAACTAACGTCTTTGTTGGCGGCTTCTTAGCCTCCAACGCCAACACCAACAGTCAAGTGGCGAGATCTAGAGTTCGAGGGGAACTCCTTTTCGGACCTAGAGTTAGTTGATTTGAGGGCCGGGGAAACTCAAACCACGAGAGACAAGCATTGCCATGTCAGGTCACGGGTACTTGACCTGACTAGAGCCGGAACACCTGGGTACCGGTCTCCAATACGTACACACACCCACAAACAATAGCATTGCGCCGTTTGTCGTTGAACTGACGTTGGAGTCCCATTGTCGCAGGGGCCAGTGCCGTTCTGTCATTTTGACAATGTCACCGAAGAATTGAACATGACATTTCTTCATACTTTTGTCAATTGGTTCCATATCCCCGACAGCGAGTGCTGATTGCCCGGGCTACAGTCACTTGCGTATCTGTTTCTCCAGTGACTATCACAGAAGCAGGCAAAGGCCATTGTCTCTGAAGAAACTCCATTCCTACAGGTTAAACATCTTCATCGCCCTAGGATAATTAAACCATTCCTGCCGTTTCTTCGAGTCGATCTGAGGTCTCTGATTCTTCTTCCATAGCGTGACCTTAGCTTATGCCCAGGGATCATCACCCCCCCCCCCTCTATCAACCCCGGCTTGAGAGATAACACAGCCAATCGCAATCGAGAAAAGTGAGCTCTGGTCCCCAACGTGGGAAATTATCTGTGGTTGATGTTGACTTTCAGAATCTTCTGATAGTAATGAACAATACGACAGTATCTTTTCTTCCCTGTGTGTGTGTGTGTGTCCGTCGGTCTGTCTGTGTGATGCAACATGAAGGGACAAAAAAGCAAAACGCCTTCTCGGAACCTAGTAACGGTCAAGTGATCTATCCAACTATCAACCAAAAAGCCAGACCAGATGAAGGAGGTCCAAGACGGACGGCGCGTGTTTGGAGTACAGTGACAACTTGAATTGAGACTTATTAATCGCACTAATTATGGAAATGAACAAGAAAACGACAACTCCGGCATGTCTTGTGTTACGAGACACAAGCATATCACTCTAATACCTTGCCTAGGTAGCCTTGCCTAGCACAAGTACATCAGACTCTAGCTAATTGCTTACTGTGCTCAATCAAGTTGGCATTGTTTCTCTCCAAAGATTCTATGATGATAGCAATGTCTGAAGTTTGCTCCGAAGCTTGACCTTCTCTGTCCAAGACGATGATAGGCTCAACGGGCGATGTGACCAGGCGCGGAAACGATCGACAGGGGTCCCTGGGCGGAGAAACGAAACAGGAAAGCCAATGCGGTCTCTGGCAAGCCCTTCAGGTTAGTTGAGGTCAATAGTCAATAGTCCAAGTCGTTAAGAAACAAATAACTTGGGGAGGAGGTGGTGATGTTTTCAGCTGTGGTCACGCCAAGTTACAGTACCGATAGGCGTTTGCATTTGCATCGTCCCCTGCTCCTCGCTTCTGTGCGGTATACCTGATGATGCATGCACTCTAGAATCCATCGCTGCAACGTCTCCACCACTTTTAGATTCGTCTGTCTGTGTCTGTGTGCAGACAGGATCGGCATTGCTGGAGTAAACACCAAAGCTCAATTCGAGCCGTTGTAATCTGCATATATTGCGGCAAAGCCACTGAATGCTGCAGATGTGTTTCAAATATACTCTGTACAGTATGTAAGTATAATTATCATCCAGGCACTTGCATGCTGGGGTAGCAACATTGATTTGACTTCCCGTTAATGGAACCCCTGAGCGATCAACAGTAGATCAATATCCACGAGGCGTTTCTTCAACGTGTCAGTGGCCCTTGGTTTTTTGAGGCAAATAACCTTACCGTTACTTGACGCCGCGTATAATAGATAACCGGTTTATGTATTTGAATCCCGCCACCAGTTCGTGGCAAGAAACGTTGAAGGTCTAAACAAAGCAACATTGGATCCTGGGCATTTATGCCTCGTACTTGATCCCTGCTGCAGAGACCCAGCTGAGGAAACTGAATAATAATAGCTGAATTATACATATATACTATGGAGTGCATACATATGTTGCATCAGGTGTCTATCTACGGAGTACTGTTTGTCTTGTCATCAACCGGCCAGAGGAAATGCCGTGATGGATATCTCCATTTCTTACAGCACTGTACTGTACCAGCTCCTTTCAGGTTCAAGCACTAATCATGAGCCAATGTCGCCTGTACATACATACACAAATTCTACCAAACTACCGGGCTTTTATCCACTCTCCCTGAAGTTGTGTCCCATGCTCATGACGCTATACGGCCGCCGCGCGTTTCATGTCCTAGATGGCGTCCATCTAGGCACAGCACCAATGGCCTCTGGGCCTTCAAGGCTTGACCTAAACAATGGCTTTGTTATCTCGGATTTGTTAGCATCTCTGCGTCTATTCGCTCACTATAATCATGTCCATCTCTTGTTGCCTCTCCTCCTGCTTACGATATCCCCGTTTCACCATGCGCCTCAAGGCTCAGGCCAAGAATCAGAATCAGATACTGCACTCGACTTGTCAATTGAGACATGTCATCGCTCATCTCGTATAGACCAAAAGCCTCTCTCATTCATCAACCCAGAGCAAAGCAAAAGCAGAAGCCAAGGCAATTAATTGTTATGCGAGGTCCTTACCTCATTCTCTTCTCCCCCGGTCCATGCTCCTTATCCCGTCCTCCTGATCCGCGTCTAATAAAAGGCCCATGTCCTTATTATTAGCCAGAGCTTGCTTTGCTTTTGCCTTTTGCCCTTTCTCCTCTGCTGCTGATGATGATATTTCTTTCCGTTACGCACTTACCCACGTGCATTCTGTGCTTTACTGTGCTCCCGGCCTGTCAAACTATACAGACGCCGAGATAGTCAATAGTCTAGTATGTCCGTGAACCCCGAGCGAGGAACATGCTCGCTTGGACGTCGGTCTCGTTTCGCTATAAGCGTACTACTTTGTCGATCCTCCTCTCGGTAATGCTAAAAATTCGACATTTCAGAATTTTCCTCAACTGCTACAGCTTATCCGTACTATTTCGCCGTTCATGAATAATGCTGTCTTGGCCTCTGGGAACATACATGGCTGTCACTTGTCAGACATAGCATCACATTCCGAAGAATTTCTCTGTTGGTTGAGTTGATCGAGTCAGGAAAGACTTGGGGTGTTTCTAACCCCTGAAGATAGAGCTATGCCTAGAATTATGCTTGTACAAACGAAATGGGCCAAGTAATCTCTTATGCAGCTTCCCTGTGCCTCGCATTCATAGTATGTACAATGCTCACCGACGACATAACATAGCATGTCTTATGATCATGGGTAGACCGCTCTATTGGGCCCAGCTGAGCTCCGTTGTTTCCGATGATGACATTGTTAATTCCCTTGTTTTGTCTTACTTGCATTGGCGTAGGAATGCTTGTTTGATGGTATCACGATCCAGGGTATGGTGTTGCACGTTTGCAACCAACTGATTCAGGCGCGTGGCACTTTGATTCAATAATTGTGTACGGATGCAGCTGCATACTCGACATGATTTATCATTATTCTGCATTTCCAATTTGCACTATTGTTCATTTGTACTGTCTCATGTGCGATCCCGAAATCCAGCAAACGTGCGTGTAATGTGGTATCAACGGTATGCCAAAGAACAAAACCGGGTATCGTGAAATGCCCAGACTCCAAGCCTCCCACGTAAAAGAACAGAAGAAAAACCAAAGCCCATGTTGTCTCATTCCTCTCGGGCCATAACCTCCGATACCTTCTTAACTGCCTCCTCGAGGTCATTCCCCAGATTCATTGCTCGAGTGATCAAGCTGATACGATCCAGCTTATGCCCCAGGCTTGAGGGAAGAACAAGTTGGCCTTGTTCCGCGGGGGCAGGCAAGACACCGGACTTTTCTGTCTTCGACTCGCCGTTCGCTAACCGGGTTGAGTTCGATATTTCTTGATCTTGTACAACCTCTTGGCGGCTGATGTTGATCCAGAACAAGGAGATTTCTTTCCCGCAGACAACTTCAAGAATGTCTTGAATAACTCGTTGGCTCGATATGCTGTTCGCCAGAGAAGCTGTCACCAGGATAGTGTAGCCCTGGTCTGCCAATCTTCGGATCTCATGAAGGTAGGCTGATCGATACTCTCGCTGATACGCATGGGCGCAAAATGGTCCAGCCATAATGGGACTGTCGACTATCTGGATCTTCTGGCCAGGGAGTCGTTCTTTGAGGTTCTTCACAATGCTTGTTTTCCCCGTGCCTGGCAACCCATTGAGGACCAACACTCTGCCTTTCTTGGGCTCATCCACGGGAGCCTCAACAGTAGCAGCACCGACTGCCATGTCGGCGGTTAATACGGATAATGGTTCTTGGTTATCCTCCATATTCTTCGATTGTATGTTATGGCCGTCCAAACTGAGAATTGGCTGAGACCCTGTAAGTCGGGAGATTAAAGACACTGGGTCAAAGAAAATCTTCGACAACAGGAAAGAGAACTTGTAGATTATTCGGTCCATTGTGAAAGGTCTATGCCCTCTATAAGTCATTTTTGATAAAGTTTATCGAAATCTAGCTTTGGAGAGTCGACGCCTCTTCTGGATATCTACCTATTTATTAGATTGAACTTTGAGGGTTGTGAAAACTCAAACGTGCATGGCCACTTGGAACCCACCGTGAAAGAAAGACAACTCAAGAACACCACAAAGAACAACTGAACGGAGGTGACTCACTGACGCCCCTTTGTCCCCTATGTCTTGCTGATTTGTTCTAACATCGAACAAATCACCAAAGCTCTGCTTTAGATATGGTTTATTACCGTATGTAGCGTATTGGTTACAAAGTTCACGACATCCTCTTGAACACAATTTGTTTGTGACAGAGTTAGGAGAAGTTAGTTTATGACTCACATCAAGGCACCTGCAGGTCACTCGATGAGTATTCGCTATAGATTCTACGACCTCTTTAGATGTGAATTGCTGACAAAACACCCATAGCTCACTGTGTTTGGCTCGAGGCTTGGGAATTTCTCTTGAGTTGTCCTCTGATGCATATTTTATGAGATTCAGACACCACCAATAATGGCTATGAATGAAAGTGAGATTAAACAAAGCTCAAGTTCTGGAAACCTTATGCTGGGCTGTATAACAAAGACATGTAGACATTCCAGCACCTCAAAATGAGGAATCGGGTATATAGAGAGTTTTGCGTCCGAATAGCGCTGTTGACTATGTACTGCCATGTATGAAGGTGATACAGGTCTGTCGCGATATCTATGTCAGGCCTGGTCCTGTTCTGCCTGCCAATCAACTGTAGAGTCGGAGCAGAGGTTGGATTCGCTGTGCGGTTGAACAAGCATCGGCATGATCGGACTAAGCTGCTTTACATGACGGATAGAACGCTGTTGCAGGCTGCTAGGAAACAGCCAAACTTCAATGACTTTGTGATGCTTTGCCCGCCGGCCATTGCCTTTAGAATATCACTAATCGTAACAGGCCTGCATTATCTAACCGATCAGATCTTGACTCTCCTTCCCCTGCAGCCCAAGAAGGACCCCAAAAACACTCCCGAGTAGGGCTCCAACTGGACACACCCGTCCCAAGTTTGACATTCGGCCTGTTTCAGTAATGCTCTTAATGTTCATCTTCATTTCCATTTCTATATCGATGCTCCCACTCTTCCAGTGTCAAAAGTTCCATAGGGATGCGCTCTCGTCTTTACATCACCCGTTTTTGTTTCTACCCATGCTTCATGTGTTGAAGGTTCTTAGCGCCAGCTACGCCCTTTTCCCTTACTCCTTGCTTTTTACCTTTCACGGAAACACTTGGCCGTGCTGCATTGGATGGAACCAGGACCGGTTGTCCGTCTTTTATACATCAATCGTCCGCCTTCCCCTTTTTTCTTCCAAACATCCAAGCTGTTTACCTTACTTTTGAACATAATATATGCCTCTGCTACGTCTTGAATTCCATGGTAATAGGTCAAGATCGGTATCCTCATGTATAGAGTGGGGCTCTTTACTCCTCTCATCAGCCATCCTTAACTCTACTAAGGTTTATCACCTTTCGTTGCTGAATTACTCGAGACTATTAATAGCATGTTCCACATGAGATGTGCTTTGCTTTAGATGGAAATGTGCTATGGCACTCGTATTAAGTCTCCTAAGCTCTATATACTCTTGTGCTAATTCCATATTGACGAAGTTGTTGGTAGGTTGTGACGGCATATGTTAAGACCAAGAATTGAAGCTTTGAGAACAACTCGAGTGTATGACATGAAGAAGATGGTGAGGGCTCGCATCCTTGAATTTTCTGGGTTTAAGAAGTGCATGTTGACTGTTGGCGAAATCTCGATCCCAAGGGCTGACGTTCAGCCAGACTCGGAATGGGGAAGACCCTTCGAATGGCGATCAAATAGGGTGGTACGCAAATCAACTGAGAACTTTAGAAGGAGTTCTACTTGATTTCTGCATACCTCAGACTGGTAGACGTTGTGGAGATTTCGACTGATAACGCTCCAAGCCCGTATATCCGCCAAGAGTGGCCACAGACAGTCAATGTCGCTCCAAAAGCCTTTGTACCTGGCAGGGAAACCCTTCTCCAGACTTTTCCATTCTGCATATGAGTCGATCTTCCCATCTTTCTCAATGTCCAGAACACCAACCATCCGGGCCAGATGGGTTGGTGCTTGAAGCATGACAGTTGCTTGATTCTTGGAAGAAATTCCACCCCTGCGGTTTTCCAACATTGACCTTGCTTGAATAAGCTCTTCGACCAAACCACACATTATGGCTCTGATGGCAAGTAAAACCTCCTCTTTCACAGGTGCCGGTTCTCCCAATATTTTCAGAACACAATTCCATTCGACGGCTCGGCAAGGGAGATTGCGGATCTGATCTCGCATATGTCTCGCGAACTCAGGTGACAAGGTGATGATCTCCGGAAGATCAGGACTCATACAAGTGTCTTCCTCGTGCTCAGTTCCGGAATGTGATCCGTCCATATCATCATCAACGTCGACGATTTCGCCGCTGAGGGCTTTGAGACAGCCTCTTGCAAAGGTAGCCAGGTCTTCAGTCCATGTATGGGGCCTATCTTCAATAGTAGGGGTAATCAGTCCAACCTCTTCATCGTCTGCCTTCTGCCGAGCCCAAAGACGCTGCATCATCTTGGAAGCGTCTATCATTCGCTGTAACTGCCCATGTCTTGTGAGATAGTGATCGATTTGTGCATACTGATCAGGGTAAACTTCATAGTCGCTTGAGACTTCCTCGAGAAGTCGAAGAGCACGGGACTCAGACAAAGCTAGTCGCTCGCGTTCGCCCAGTGTGGTGAACCACTCAGGGTGTTGGGCGATCAGGTCAAATTCGGCTGTTGTAATCGACTGGGGGCCTTCTAGTTTGATCAAGACGCTCTCCAAATCTGGCTCAATATGATCCATTGTGTTTCTCGTTGAAAGTTCGTGCGTCTCTGTTGACGACGTTGGTGTCGTAACTCCACTAAATGGTTGTGTTCGGTTTGGGTCGAGTTCTGTTCCGTCGTTTGAAGCAGGGCGCCTCTGAGTCTGCTTATCTGTTCTTGAAATGTTCTCCTGATATTGACGAGTCGTTCACACGGTTCTTTTTGGGACGAAAGCACAACGGAGTCTCTTGTGCTGGAGGGGATACTTTCTTTTGCGTTTCAGGGGACAGCTGGCGATGCCAGCGAAGGAGCTCAGAATTACCGAAGGTAGAGATGGTTCTTTTCATTCAAGCTTCTCAACAGGAGAAGATCAAATGTGTAAAGGTGAAAGAGAAAGTTATGCGCGGTGCAACTGAAGTAAGGCATGAGTGGAGAGCTTGAGCACCTTCCCTTTGAGTGACATGATTACTGGAAAGTGCAAGTCGGGGTTGCATCGTGCCTGAATGTTCACATCCTCATCAGGTCGTTCATTCCATTCCTGGAGGACTTACCTTATATACATGCCTGCAGGTGACCTCCTGCAGAATGACCTTCTATTATTTGAAGTGTTGATACAAAGGAAGTTCAAAATTTGGTTTCTTGAAGCAATAGGTTTCTCTTCTGTGATGACTTCTCCTCAACCTTCAATAAAAGCTATGTCTTCGAATGCACCACTGATATGATGAATTAGTCTTTGATCTTCTATTGTCATCCATGCTGATCCTTCCAAGAGACATGATCAAGCCATGGCGATAAGCGACTGCCTCTCTAAGCAGGGAAGAATTTCTGACAGCTCGTCAGGATACCTCTAGCATGGCACTGCAAAAGAATTACCCATCAGCAGGAAAACCCGCCGGCTTTCTGCTTACACTCTCACAAGTTCATGAGACTTTCCAATTCACTGCCTTGGAGAACATTCCTGATGGGTTATCAAGGACACCCATGCAAATTATCATTACAACTCCGCGGTGAAAGGGTGAACAATGGGAATAATCTTTGCTGAATTTAGGTCTAAGACTATCCTAAATCATAAAAGATTTAGCTAAATATCCCAAAGTTAGACAAGTAAGGCATAAAATTTATGATTTCTGTTCTAATTTCATGTCCTATCCTGATGGTAATTCGAGTCAGGATTGAACCACATCTATTTCACCCTCCTCATCGGCGGATAAACACATCCGCTCAGCGTGCAATGACAGTAAAAAGTCTCGAGATGAGCCGGAACTTGGTTGTTTCGTCAATCTCCTTAGGATCTACTCTTGAGAGACGGGCGCCATCTGCTGCCTCCTCGCCGAAGTCATCCCACATGGTTTCTACCATTGACAAAACCTCAGCCTGTATTGGCCTCCTTACGTTGAGTGTGTCGATCAGGGGCTTCCAGTCGACAGTCCGAACGATGAACTCCGTGGTTGCGTCGTGGTATTGGCGCGCTCGGTGCGGGTCCAAGGTTTCTAGTTCTTTGGCGTCTAAAGGGTCATCGGACGACACGGGAGGCTCCTCTGGGTCGATAGTCGTTTCCTGTGTTGCGGTGCCGTTGGTCGTGACCGGTTCTATATCACCCACGTTTGGTAGACTTCCCTCGGCCATTGCATTCATGAGCTCGTGGATCATGCCGTCCCACTTGAACACCATTTGGTTTGTGTCGTAGATCAAGTCTTCGAGCTTCTTTCCTAGTCGCAGTGCCAACTTAAGTCTCATCTTGTTCCTCGTTCCAAGGCGAGAACAAAGTATGGTTGATGGGCACCTGTGCCTCGATGCCTCCCATCTGTTCCCAGCCTAATCGCCTAGTCATCTCCAGGTCAACTTCTGGCATTATCCCAACATCTCCGACTCCAGATTATCAGAGTTCTTAGCCATGAAGTATGGTAGACAACGTGGCTACCGGCTTTGTTGGTATCGAGTCCACTCGGTTGTTCTGGCGCACGAGTCTTGCCATTGGCGCTGGTTGCTCCTCGAAAATTGCGACCTTATCCTTCACAAATCGTTGAAGCCGGGAAATGTTTCCGAACACAGTGCAACCTTCATGGAAGATTGTGTTGATCCCCGCCACGACGTTGGGAAACTCAGTTATCAGGTCGAAGCTTTCCGTGTTGTCCGCGAATGAGACCTCGTTGACCTTGGTCTTGTCCCGCATAAACACATGCTGGATGGCGGCCCCCGAGATACCCACATAGACTGCAGGCGTTGCGCTCTCTCCGGGGATCTCGACTGGCAGATGGTCTGGCATATGCTTTGCTCCGTCTCGGGGGATAAAGAGGCGGCTGGCACGCACATATTGTCAGACAATCCTCATGTCCCCATTTGTCACCTTCGACCCCCCATTCCCTGGTGTCCAGGCCTTGTTAAAATAGGTGCCATAGACAGGTACTTCATGAGGCTCGTCGCTGGTGTCGAGCATGCCCTCGCGATTGTATGCAGCAATCACTACCTGACCACACAGGAGGGCTGTTTTTCTGCGACATTCGTCAAGCCTTCAGGGCGCGGCCGGGTGAGTTTCACTGGATCTCACCGCGATTACCGCAGCCGCATATCTCGATTTCTTCTGTTGTTTGTCATTGTGAACTGAATATTGTGTGTTTCATGTGAAGTACTGAGCGTGACGAGCGCATCTGTAACACGCATGTCCTGCTCATATCAAGTATTTTGACAGGGCAGTAAGGCGTTTTTCTGTTATTCGTAGCGGTGTAGTTTCTTGCTTAAGAATATTTCCGGTCTGGTAATAGCATATGTATAATTATGTTGAAGAAACTGCTTCTTTCGAAGTAGGAGTTGTGTTACCTACAACCCGTATCTCTCTAGCCGAGAATGTTATAGAAGCGGTTTCTTTCTATCTCGCAGTGATAGTCAGTAAAGGTATGCATAAGGACCTGAGTGCAATAGGCAGTCTCGTATATAAGAGGTGTATTTTAGTAGTGCCTAGGATATACGATGTTTCTGTCATATAGATTCGTGTGAAATCTATCGCTGGACGTTCATTAATGAGGTAGCTTGTGTTTTTGTTTATGTGGATCAAATATTAGGAAAATTGACATGAATAAGTGTATTACGTACTAAAACAAACCTGAGCAGACAATCTTGAACGCTATCTTCCTTTCTTACCTGCACTGTTGCTTTGGCCTATGTTTGTCAAGATATTGTCAAGTAAAGCAAGCTGGTTGTAAACACAGATAAGCATTATTAAATACCCTAGAGCTTCACCAATCTATATAAGTTCTTGCCAAGACTTTGGTATTGCCAACTCACTGGGGAAATATTGCTACGTATCTCAATTACTCCTGTCTTTTATGCCTGTCAGTTCAATGCGTTTGCGCGAATAATCAAAGCAGTCTCGGCGCGTATCGCCGTTATACGGCGAGGCCGTCTCGTTCCGCGGCGCAGTCTAGGTGAGCACGGTGAGCATGGAGATACCAACCCTCGTCGGTATCAAAAACGTTCCACACGATGTCTTGGTAACGTGTCTGTCTCATGATTCGACAAGTTGTAAGTGGTCTCTCGAGGCTCACGGACCCGCGAGATCGGGACCAACCGGGCTGCTTCCTTGTGCTCTATCAGGACAAGATATCTTGTTCTGGATGTTCTAGCGAGCTTCTAGAGTGTTTCAGGCTCGGGTTCTCACCGAGCTTCCCTTTTGATCTGATGCGCGACATTTCACATTGGATGGACGAAAGACATCAGCCCTGAGGTTCTGACTGTGTTGGAGTTGAAGTTGAAGCTAGGGGGCCGGGCCGGCAGTCCAAGCTCCGGACCAGTTGGTGTTGAGCTTGACTCGCTGTCCTGGGGTCGGAGACACTGTGGGTAAGGGAAGAGACCAAACTGGGGTTTTAGGTAACGATATCGAGGCTAGACCCTCTGAGATCGTCACAATGCCAATGTTTGCGGGTCTTGGCCGGACTCAAACGTCCCGGTCAGGTTGAGATTGGGCAGGATATGAGGGAAGAGAAGCTGAACGAAGGAATAATAGGAATTAAACTTATTATTCTGACTACCTAGGATGATCGGTGCACTGAGGTGAATTCCTTGCTCACCTCAATATTACCCCCCACCTAAGCTCTTGAGCTAGCATTAATGGACAGTAGCAGTACGTACGTCACTTTGCTTGTCATTGAAGTGACGGGAGCTTTCAAATAATTGCGCGGGGGCCAAATGATAGAAAGAGAAAACTTGAAAAAGTAGGGCAAAACTCCAATGATTGGGCAGAGCTGGCAACGTGCATATCTGTTAGAGAAGCGTCTCGACTTTCAAACGACATGACATGTCGCATCGGGCTGCGAAAAGGGGGACATCTACCCCAGGATTAACGCTGTAATGGAACGTCAAAGCTGCGAATAGTGGCATGCTTGAGAGATTATGCGTCCTCCTTTGGTCACTCGGTGTGAGCTGTTGGGCGATCATGTTCGATCTTGGGGCGAAGTTTGGTTACCTCGACACGCAACACGATAATTACGCAGCCAAAGAATTGACTCTAAAGATGCCGTTTTCCGTTACGGGTGATGCATGATGCATACAATTCAGCCCAATCCAATTGCAGCTCTTTTCTTCACAACCTCCTTCACCTTGCAGCCCCAGGTCAATTCTCACCTGGCTCCTGGCACCTGGCTCCTGGGGCCTCACAGACCAACTGACAAGGCACTGTTTACAGTTTCTAGTCGCTGAATGGCCTCTTTTCTTTCCTTTCTTCTGCTTTTCTTCCTGCGGTGGTACAGTACCTGGAGAGGCAACCTAAGAGGTCCCACCCCCGAATTTTTCTGTGCTTTAGTGACCAAGGCCATTACTGGTTTTTTTTTGCACTTATATCTAATCCCCCGTAAACATCCACACTGAGTTTTCCTCCTCTCTCTCCCTTCTTTCTCCTCTTCCTGAGATAGACCATCTCTTCCCCTGCCGACATCTTGATCCGGCTGTCGCGACTATTGTGACTTGCATGACTGGGCCTCACTAGAGCCATATTGCCCAGCTTCCCATTACCTAACCTGGTCCTGCTAAGGAACCACCACCTCTACTACTACTACTACCTAATCAAATACTACTCCATCCTTTCATCAACTCTCTTCTCTTTATCCCTCTCTCACATCGCCATCATGTCTTTCAGTGGACGCAAGTTCTCTATCAACCGCCATACTGGCGCACCCAAGACACTCACTCGACGTTTCAGTACAAGTGAGCCTTCAACCAACGGTAAGCTCTTGTGTCTCGTCTGTGGCTTCTTTGTTCCGGAGCTTGGCTTCTCGCTATAACGTTGCACCTCTCTATCTTGAAGGAGTTGCTCCAACTACTTCAACACCACATTCTCCAACTTGACGAGTTGTCTACGATAAATCAACAACGAAAGCCTCGTCTACTCTCTTCACCGTTTTCTTACCTCCCCTCACCGTCCCGCCTTTTCGCTCTCACTACCGGCGCCACCGATGCGGTCTTCCCCTCTCTGTCCCTCACAATCCCTGCCGTTTTGCCCCTCCGTGGACTGAACCCCTCCAAATCCGCCTTACATGAGCTACACAGGAGCTTGGCTGCAGCTACAGCTCTGAGCTGCCCCACAACGTCATAATTCAACTCCCCAACGCGATAGGGATATTGTATGAAAACAACTGTAGCCAATCGCATTATACTAATTCAATATCTTGTTAGAATTCCAATCCAAGGTTCATCGTCAGTTCCGAAATGCTCATGAGGGACATATGCCTCATGCTGGTCTCGATGCCAGCCGATCATCCACTGGTGTCATCTGGTGTACAGAGCGAGCCTCTGAGTATGGATACCTCGAGGATCCTGAATCATGGGCCAATCTTGGCCAGGGTGCCCCTGAAGTCGAGGATGACATTGAGGGCTGTTTCCCCCGACCCGAGACCATCAACATTTCAATGGCTGGCCGAGAGTATGGCCCTACCGCTGGTATCAAACCCTTGAGAGAGGCGGTTGCCAAACTTTACAATGAGGAACACCGTCAGGGTAAGGAGAGTCAATACACCTGGGAGAACGTAGCTATCGTTCCTGGCGGCCGTGCTGGTCTCATCCGTATCGCCGCGGTTCTCGGCAACTCATACCTGTCTTTCTTCTTGCCCGACTACACGGCTTACAATGAGATGCTGAGTCTTTTCAAGAACGTCCGTTTTACTCTAGCGAAAAATCTATGCTTGATGGTGGGGTGCTGACGAAATCTCACAGTTTGCCGCCATTCCCGTCCCTCTGGCTGAAGAGGACGGCTACCACATTCACCCTGACAAGATTGCCGAGGAAATTGCCCGTGGTACCTCTGTCATTCTTACCTCTAACCCTCGTAACCCCACCGGTCGTGTTATCGCCAATCCGGAGCTTGCGGAGATCCAGGACATCTGTCGAGACAGAGCCACGTTCATCAGCGACGAGTTCTACTCGGGATACAACTACACATCGAATTGCGATGGGTCGACCATCTCAGCGGCTGAGAACGTGGATGACGTCGACGAAGATGACGTTCTGATCATTGATGGTCTCACCAAGCGCTTTCGTCTGCCCGGTTGGAGAATTGCTTGGATCCTGGGACCCAAGGGTAAGCACATCAAACAATCCACATACCAAGAAAAGACTCTAATTTTGTCCTGCTAGAATATATCAATGCGTACGTTCAATCCTGAATTTCTCTAAATCTTTTGAGCCATTTTTGTTGGTGCCCCTTTTCTGCCATATCTGACTGACATACTTGTAGCATCGGTTCATGCGGTTCTTACCTGGACGGTGGTGCCTCTCATCCTTTCCAGGAAGCTGCTATTCCTATGCTTGAGCCCAGTTTGGTCAAGAAAGAGATGATTCACCTTCAGTCTCACTTCAGAGTAGGTCCTGAGATGCGCACCAAGAGAACACGGAAAGCTCACTGTTCCTAGGATAAGCGTGACTTCGTTGTACGACGCCTGCGGGAGATGGGATTCATCATCAAGTACGTGCCGGATTCGACATTCTACCTGTAAGTCACTACACCTACTTGGCCTTCATTTCACCGGCTCTAAACGATTCTCAGTTGGCTCAATCTCGAGGGTCTTCCCGAGTCCATCTCCGATGGCCTCAATTTCTTCCAGGCCTGTCTTGCTGAGAAGGTTATTGTGGTGCCTGGAATCTTTTTCGATCTTAACCCTTCACGCCGTCGTGATCTTTTCGACTCTCCCTGCCATCACTTCGTTCGACTCTCATACGGTCCCCGCATGGACGTTCTAAAGATGGGAATGGACGCCATTGAACGTGTTGTCCAGAAGTGAGTTCTACTCCCACCAATATCTCGTCATAGTAGTCACAGAGCTAACATGCTGTAGGCACCGAAAGCTCAACTAAGTCCTCTCCTAAAACAAGCAATACTCGGCTTGCTTGAAGTTTGGCTCGGCCACATGAGCTATGTGTTGTTTTATTGCCCGAGCCGGTTTGTGGAGGGGCTTTGCGCTTTGACGGTTTTGAGACATCCCACAGAGAGTATTATCTCACAGAGACAGCAGATATGCAGTCACGACTGCCATGCATGACGAATGTATGCAGTGGAACATGAGTTAAGCTGAGGTTACACAAGAATTAGCGTTGGAAGAAATCATTCTTTCATAGATGGAGGGGTCTGCTAGATCGTCTCAGGCAGTTGCATTCATCGTTATTCTCCTAATGAAATGTCCTTATCTCGGGCTCTTTGATATTCGTTGAACCCCACCCCACGATTAGTCCTCTATCACTTGATCATGGTCTGACTAAATACTCTATCCATAGCACCCTTTTGGCAAGTTACCCCACGCTGAGCATAAAAGACGACACACATGAACTCTAGACCGCCGCATCTCTGCAGCTGCATCTATCACGCCTTATGCCGCCCTCAAGTCCCCTCATCCAGCTCAGCTCGTCATCGCCCCTGCTCCCGCTTGGATGAGACCCTGAATTAGCCTTTCAAAAGTGATAATCCTATCAGAAGTTCAGGTGATGGCGACATTGCACTGAGGCGTAGATCTACCCGCACATCTCGCTCAAAAGTCCCGATCTCTTTATAAAACAAGCAAAAATGGCCGAAAGGACGATACCCGCTGTGGATAGTTCTTGATGTGAGGTCAAGTCCCCCCCACTGTAACTGTATGTAGTAGTTTGTGGTGTTCTGGTAGACTAGTTGGCCAGTACGAACAACTGTAATGCTTCTCCTAGCAAAGGCGAAATCGGACAAAGCGCTATCGTAAGATATCTTCAGATAATTATGTCGAATCTCGATCTACTCTGGTTGTTTGGGTGCTGCAATATGGAAGACAATCGAGCGGCAAGTTCTAGAATTGGCGCAGGGATTCTTAGTGGCTGGTCTACTCTATCGGCTTCCATTTTTTTCTATCCTCCGCCTAACTTTATTCCACGACACTCTCACATTGTCCTTCAACTTTTCAGTATAATAATCCATCAGTAGAAACCCCCAGACTTGGCCAGACACATAAAAAGTCTGTCAATTCAAGCAAGACTTATCATATAGTGGGAGTTCTGTGCTTTGGTCTACTCACAAAGCACTCTCACTCACCGAGTGAAGCCATACCAACTCATCCACATTATGCTCAAGCGGCTCCCACGTCTTACAATCACTCGTCTATACAACACTACATTTGCACCTCGCTTCTCCAGTACAATGTCCAGCAACGATCAGCAAACGCAGACAGGGCCCAGGGAAGCTAAGGACACCAACAAGACACCACTTCCTCTTCCAGCCCCAGAACATGCCGCCGCAGACCAGGGCGATGACGTGACGTCTCTTCGCGTGGGCGAGTCTGTTAAGCTCGACGCCATGGGCCCGCTCGTGGTAAACACAGATGGAACTATGGGTAGGATTGGAAACTGGGCGGGTATGACTGAGCATGAGAGAGCGCAGACGTTGAGATTGTTGGGAAAGAGGAACAAGGAGAGGATGGACGTTCTCAAGGCTAAGAAAGCGGAGGAGGAGCAAAAGTCAGACACCAATGCCGATAAATGAGGGCGATTTAATACTATGAGGAATAATAGAGGCCCTCGGATGTTCGGATACAGCGATGAAGATGCTGGAAATTAGATGCAATAGATGACATTACGGCCCTTCTCACAGGCACAGGCAAACTAGACTTTTTGAACGTGTTGAACCTTAAGAAACTAGTTACGGAAACGATGTATCGTATACCCGTTGATATCATTGCAAAACAAAAAGCCCTCCCAGTTTGTCCTGTCATCCGAACCCAGGGACTGGTCTCTATCAGTTGCCTTCAAACAACCATGTATATCCATCATATCGTCATCCACTGAACGTCACCTCACGAAACCTCGCGATATTTTAGGTTGTGCACTATACAAGGCAGCCTTGATGGCTAGCCTCAGCGACCCATCATCATGCACCATGTATCCCAGACATTGTTGAAAAGATCAGAATTAAACGCCACATTTCCTTCCCCAAATGCTCCGAGCCAGAACGCCGCCCGTCTTTGTCGCCGTATTCTCTTCCCCAACGCTATACGTCGGATCACCTTGTCTCCTCCTTGACGGCGGACTTAGCTTTTGACTCGGACTTGTCGGTAGACTTGGACGCGGCAAACTCCTTCCATAATGTGACGATCTCATCGTTGCCTTCGTTCTTTTCAACAAGAAGGTTCTTGAGCCACTTGTTCTCCATCTCAAGCTGTTGGACTTTGCTCTCCAGGACGGAAACCTTCTCGGACATCTCCTTGGCGGACTTCTCGAGGGCTTGCTCGCGCTGCTTCTTCTTGATGCGGAAACGGGCACTGGCAGCAGTGTTGCGTCTTCGCTTGTCCTCCTCGGCAGCATGGCGAGAGGCTTCCTCAAAGTTGAGGCTTCCGCGGCCGGCACCAGGGCCACTCTCAGAGCCACGCTTCTCGGATGAAGGCTGAGGAGTAGCCTGCTGACCGTAATGGGAGGCTTGTTGCTGTTGCTGGACGGGCTGATAGCCCGTGGGGGCGTTTGGCTGCATAGAAGGGAAGTTCTGGGCACCATCCGCGAAGCCGTTCAAAGGAGTGGACGGGTAGGTACTGGTAAAGTCGGGGAAGCTAAAATCGCCTGCCATCGTAATATGGTCAGTTGATGTCGAGGAGAGTCAAGTATCATGACGAAGACGAGAAGAAGATAGTAGACATTGAGAGTTGAAGAGTAACAGATAGTCTTGCATAGGCCCTTGAGGCCTGGGGAAGCAGGCTGTCCCAACTTGGGAAGTGGTTGTGAGGTGCAGGGGTGTAAGTCGATGTCGTGATCAGTGCCGGCAAATCACGAGATATTGCACCATAGACACCACCACCCTCCAGCCACTGATATCGAGCTGGGGATCCCAGGCGGGCCACACTCAAGTAGACTTGCGTCGGGGGACAACTTGTCCCAATGACAGAAGGGCGTGATGCACATCGGGAGCAGGGCTCTCAACGGAAGGTGGGGGTAGTAAGGTTAATATCCAGTAAAGCAGTAGAGATGCTGTTCATTACCGAATTCAGGGTCAGGGTGTATGAGGCCAGGATTTTGACTATCCGCTTGGATAGTGGCCATACGCTTGGAGGAGAAAAGGGAAAACCATGAGCGGCAACAAAAATGAAGCAAAACGGATATGAGCACATCCTCGGCATATTTGCATAGAAATTGATCAACAAAATCCCTGCTTTGTGTCGAAACTAATGCTCCCGTCTCGACTCGATCTTTGTCTCTTTTTTCATGCTTCCAACTGCTCTTTTCAACCTGGCGCGCCCATAGGGAAATAAATTCCATACTGCAGAGATAGTAGAAACTCACCCTGAATGAAATCAAAGCTGCTGGGGTTGATGTCGCCAACAACGGAGGGAGCCGGGGTCATTCCATCAGAAGGCGAGGTGCTTTGGGCAGCCTCGACATCAACCTTCAGAGGTTGAGCTTGATAATCGGTGGTCTGGTTCGTCTCAAAATCGAAGAACTGAGTATTGGTAAAAAGAGCGAGATCCTCCTCCATGTTGAAAGGCTCCTCGTGGGCAGTCTCCTGACGGTTGATGGCGTTGAGGTCGCGGAGATACTGCGACACATTGGGGCCGCGACGACCGTTGAAGTTTGACATTTGGGCGATTTAATCGAGATTGATAACTCTTTCTTTCAATGTTTTCTCCAATGACAATATGAATTCCTCGTCGTCCCTTCAATCGATGGTCGACGGTTTTAGTTCGGTACCGGTTCCGAAAGCGGCTCAGCGAGAATGAGCGGGGTTTTGTATGGACAAATTTGCAGCAGGGCCCTGGTGACTCAAAAAAGACAGTAACAGCCACAATCACAAGTCGATGGCTGTCGAAGTCGGTGATGTTGTCGTCGAAATCCAGTATCGAAATTAACAGTGAATGTATTCCGAGGTTGACTCTGGGGGAACTTGAGGGGAGGAAGTGGAGGAAGAAAGAACAGGCAGTCAAGTCGGTTTTCTCAAAGTGGATGCTAAGGTAACTTGCGAGTTGAGGCCGATTGCCGCCGAAGCCACTACGGAGTGGGTAGTGAGCTGAGGGCAGTCACTGGACAATTCGTGGGATAGTGGGTGGCATCCCCTAGAGGTTTAGTGGGTTGTAATGGATGTACGGAGTATTGGCGATGAGATTGGAGTGAGCCTAGAACATGGGTCCCCTTCGGCGAATGGCACCACAGTCTTTGAATGTCGCAATACTCATCTCAGGATGATTTGTTATGTTGGTTGCGACCTATTCTTTGTTGTTGCTATCTGATTTATTGTAGAACTCTATTCAGAACCCAATTCATTACCCGTTTTGCAACTCAATAACTCTCAACTTGGTATTCATGATCGGTAGGCTCATAGTGTAGAATCTGATTACCAAGCTTCCCCGAGCGAGTATTACCTGGAGACCGTCGGCTTGCTTAACAATCACGCAGATGATGGTTCCAGCCGTCATGGATTTTCCCCTCTCACCCCCACGCCAACCACCAACCAGAGAGTCACACCAGCCCTCAAGTGGTACAGGGGGACGGCTACACCTCAAGCGACGACATTTCAGGCTGTTAATTGTGATGTAAGTAATACGGAGTTTCTCTACAGAGCATACGGAATGAATACGAATATCTATTGATGTTGTTAAACTGTTAAGGAACTCATCACTTCAAACACTGCACTTGGCAATATTCTTTGTGTGAACAGCACATAATTTTACTCTACCCAGTGGACACAAAACATCAGCCACGGTGGAAATTCAACTCCCCGCCCCCTGTCGTTCATCTGCAGATTTTCTCGCTTTCATCTGAAAACGTGGGTTGTCCTTATTCCTTGCGGTCCCTTCTCCGCTTCGGAATGTGAGGCGTCCTTGTCAAAACACCAATCCCTCAATCCCAATGAGTGATTATTTCACAAATTATCACACGAGCGTGGGTTGGCTTGCTCTCCTTTACCTCAAAAGGGATGAACTGCGACGAAGAGACACTCCACTCGTGCATCTTTTGGCGTTGGTGTCACAGCCGACAGGGAGCTTCACCCGACACAACAGCAAAATTGGAGCGCCGTGGAACGTGGAAATACGATCGGCCAAGCCACCGCAACGTTTTCGCTGCTCTGCAGGTGGCGATTCCGGACAGGTTCGGGGAGTTCGTTCGGCTCTTTGGCTCAGTCGAATAAACTCAACTAACCGCATCGTTACAAGTCTGTTGTTTTGGTTTTCGCTAACTCTAGTTTTTTGCGCTGAGCCGAATAATCGGTGAACGGAATTCACGCACAAAGGTTATTTCATTTTAAAATTCGGCAGTTGAGCCTCGGAATGAGAGGAAGCTCAAGTTACTGGGAAAGATATCCTCGTCTGCTCGAGACCAAGCATCCAAAGTTCAGAAGCAAAACAACGGCACTGTTCTTGTACAGGTTTCTAGGCTAGCCCCCCACTTGTATACATGGTTAACGGTCTTCATCACACTCATGCAGTGTGATAGTCCCAGACAGGCTGACAGGTCCTCGTCTTTGTTTGTTGGGTTGCATATGATCCCGCCTCAAGGGTCCCTCGTGCGCTTTTGCGGCTGCAAGCTGGAACCGAGTGGAGGTCATCCCTTGCTTGCGCGTGGGCAAAGTCAAGTCATCAATCATGATCCAACCGTAAACCTCTTGGTTCAAGTAATAGCTTCTTGTTGGTCGGCGAGATTCCTTTGAGTTGAGCCGATGTCGAGTCCCAGGATCCGGACATTTCCCGAACTCCCCGTCAAAATTGGGGCCTCAGGAATGAAATGGATCTCTTGTGGAAATCCTTCTCATTCAATCTCCAAAAAGAAAGTGTCCCCGGCTTGAATCACGACTCGCTTGTCTGCGGCCCCAGGTCACTAGAAGAAAATTATGACACATATTATTGAGGCTCTGGAGATAGGCTTACCACGGGCTTATTGCACTCCGCTACACCTCGGAGTTGGTGTTCCTTGTGAGGCATCAAGGGCATCACTTGTATTACACTGCACGATCCTTGATGCGTTTGTTCCTTCAATCCTTAGCCCGTCTTGAAAAATCTGCCGGACAGATCTGCAGGATCCTGTCGTCATAGCCCCTGCCCATCGACTACGTGGGGGCATTTGTGAAGCTAGGAAGCCAATCCAGAGAGAGTTCTCAACAGACACAGAAAATCAATTCCCAGCGCGGCCCGCGGGTGTCGTCAATGATTTGCCCCATTACATCGAGGTCAAGATGAGTGATGACTTCCGGTGGTAAATTCCATCAGGGCTTATTGGACCCTGCAGTCAGCCCGTCCTCGCGTCGGAACCAAACCTGTGAATGCCAATGCCAACCCCTTGGTAGTGGAACCACGGTTATCTGGTCTGGTTCTGTGACAAGAAGCCATGAGGCACTGGAAAGTCTGAACCAATCAACTAGCTTCTCCGAGTCGGCTCACGATCATGTCCGAGTCGACCCATCGTTAGAGCCGAGTCGTCGGTTTCGACTTCTTATGAAAGGAGCATTTCCTGCCCGAAGAAAAGCGGCAAATGCACTCAGAAGCTGTTTAGGCAAATTGAGAATTCCACCGATTTCACACTCTGTGAATACATAAAGCCGTAGTTCAAGTTGTATGTACTCTGTAGGAAGATGGCATTTGTATCTCACGTGATGATACACGTGATCGGATCATGATATGTTCTGTCGACGGGAGACTTAGGTATTGCTGGTCCGTGCATTCAATAGTGCTTGATTGGAATTGGTTTGAGACGCGACTCCAAAGCGAATATCGCGTGTTATCGAAGCGTTCAAGCATTGTTTATCGACTTCATCTGCCTAAAGGACCAATTGATCAACACAATCCAGTTAGACGATAATCAAGGGGACAAGCCTTGCGTTTTTGCTCAACGTATGCCTTGTTCAACATCTCAAATGGTTACTGTGACTTTACCATTGTAAACACAAACAACCAAACAAACAACAATGGCCCGCTTCTCTATCCCAACAAAGTCCAGGCTTCCATCATCATTGCGAGTGGATGCATCTAATCCTGCTGTTGTAAAGAGTCTCAATAGACTCTCTCGAGAGTCTCTTATTTCCCTGGCACTAGACTGGCTTGACGATGAGAGTCTCCCGAATTCTATTCCTTACATCGAGAGGAGGGATGAAGACGACGATGAAGAAAATGACGATCTTTACCCCCCTTGTCAAAGTATTGACGAATTACAACAACTTTATCTCGATATGCAGCATCAAAAAGGGTCAAAGAGAGGTGTTGTCAGTCGTATTGTTGAGGGCGATTGGAGACTTGGCCTGACATTATATCAACTAGCCATGGCCGACATGGCCTATTTCGAACAGAACCCAACGTCTCAAAAATGGTCAGCCTATCAGATTCTGCCTCTAAAGCAGCCTTCACAAGATGCCGGCGAGGACAAGGTACTCAGAGTCGACCAAGAAAGTTTGACAGTACCTCGGTTTCATCCATCAACGTTTCTCCAAAATCTTCAAACCCATGTGCTACCTGACGTCAAGGCACATTATCACTTTCACCGACCTACGGCCATACCCGTTCTACTGCTGCGCATTCTTGTCATAGATTCACCCTACAACACGGATTTTGCTCTTTCAAGTCGAAACCCAAATGGCACAGCAACAAACTTCGACTCTTCAAGGACAGTGTACATTGCGTTTCCTGATGGATCACCTGCTTTGTACATTACGAAATCGCAGGCTACAGGCAACGCTGGCTCAGGAGAGTCCAAGAGCTTACACAGCTTAATCGTGGATGGGGTACCCAAGGCTCTCTCACGCCCTCGTGAACGATACACTCTCAAATCAGGAAACCTTCAAAGCAAGAACTTGGATGCACTTCTAGAAAAGAAGGGGTCTGGACGCACAAACTCTGCAGGAGGTGGCTGGAGCATCTATTCCAATGAAGCCACAAAGATATCTCCATTGGATACCGTTGTTCCAACTCCACCCCTCTCTCGAGAATCATCGTCCTCAAGTCTCAGTCTAAAGCGAGGAGTGTCATTCGCTGAATCTGAACGAGTTGCAAAGAAATCGAAATTGGTTGCCAAGGCTCGGTTCGGCGATTCAGGTCTTGTCACTGATGGTAAAGGAGTGGAAAAGGTTGACATCGTCATACAGGATCCATTTCCTTCTATAAGTGAAGATACTGGTGATACAGAAGAGAATGATGATGGTGCCACGACAGGGAACAAGAATCGACGAAAGAGCAAGATTACCGCTGTTATTCGAGAGGCGAATATCGCAGCAGAAGAGGACAACGACGATGCCACCTCGTCAGACCGATGGACACCGACTATAAAAGTCACATTTTGTGGAACACATGTATGGGCTGGCGTACGACAACTTGTAGAGGCTGGCATAATAGATGGAGAGCGGATGCCGGGGTGGATGACAGGAGAAGAGGGTGTAACAACAGGACTTGTGAGGCATGGAAGAATACGTGGATACAAGGGCTCGGGGATGTGAAACAAATGTTGGATCTATAATGGCGCATGGTCTATGTCTTTTCTTCTCTATTTGATACCCCCATGACAGCACGACTGGTCAGCCAATTCTTAGCTCTCTTCAAGTCCGAAAACTGTCACTGTGTTCTTCCATGCAGCTTCACAAACTTCCTCGATACTGACTCCCTTGATACCTGCAATAATCTTGGCGACACGCTCGATATTACAAGGTTCGTTGCGTCCCTTGACCATGGCTCCCTCTTCCCACTTCTCCTTCTTGACAGTTTTGTATCGTTCCGGTACCTCGGGCTCTTTCTTCTGGTTCCTCTTCGACTGCTTTTGCGGTTTTTTGGTAGACTCAGCGGCAGGGGCAGTCCCATTCTGTTGGGTCTCGTTATTGGGCGTCTCTTTCTTCTCGATAAGATACTTGTAGCCCTCGTGGCTTGGTCGCACCTCACACCATGGTCCATCGGTCTCAATCATGAGACGGTCGAGGTGAACTTCCTTGACAACAGCACAGTTCTCTGCAGTCTTGAAGCTGCATCCATTGATACCAATGTAGAGACCCAAGTCCATCAGCTCGCGCATCTCCTCAGCTGTGCCAGTGAAACTATGCACTACGCCGCCCTTCTCTAGCTTCTCCAGCTTCTCACCAAAAGCCTCCTTCAGAAGCCGGACAAAATCATTGTGGGCGGCGCGGGAGTGGAGAAACAGGGGAAGCTGAGGAGATATCGACGCAGCAACCTGGAGCTGAGCTGCAAAAGAATGGAGCTGGATGCTCTTCGAACAGTAATGCAGTCGATCATAGTCAAGGCCAAACTCACCCATAGCCACAAGGCTCTTCTGGCCTGATGCTTGGGCCTCTGTCACCAAAGAGGTCAAGTCTCTGACGAGTTTACCGGTCTTTGTTGGGCAAGGGGGGTGCTCTTCCGAGACCGGAGCTGAAGGATCGGGATCACATGGTGTTGTGTGCTCAGACTCGTGAGAAGGACCCGCTTCACTGAAGACAGAGCTGCTACAGGGATGAATGCCTGCAGTGCCGAAGATAGTTCCGGCTGTGGGTGATGTTAGTCGTGTTATCAGATTGATAAGCAGGGGTGAGATTACGATAATCTTTGGCAAGGGTGAGGGCATCTCGAGAGTTGCCAAGGTCTGAGCCGGTCACTATCAGTTTTGTACAACCAACTTCACGGGCTCTTCCGATGATAGCATCGAGATCATCGGGGTGTCGCTCTTTGCCGTGGTATTTGCCTCGGAAGATGGGATCGGTCAAGTTGATACCGATCTATTGGTAACGCTAAGTGTTAACGGGATCTGATATCGGATACGGATACGGATACATAGGGTGATTGACATACATCGATATATCTAGGTTTATAACCGGAGCCCTCAACGGGCTGAGGCGTTGGTGAAGAAGCCATGTTGCGGAATTGCGAGGCTTGAAATCTGAGACTCGAAGACCTGAAACCAATTCGTGCTGAAGAGTGAAAGCAGTGAAAGAGAGGTCTCGCTGTCATTGATCTTGAACTTCTCTTGCTTGGCTCGAGCGTGAGTCACTGACGTGTTGCTGCCTCGCAACCGTAATCTCTAGCTGCCTTTTTTTTAGGCTCAATAATGTAAAACCGCAAGGAAGTCTCGATTCACAACGATGATTGGCTCTTTGATCTACGTTTTCGTTCACAGTCTCATCCTCCCGTCAACCTCAGTTCAAGGTCCAAGCTCAGTCAATTCCACCGGATGTTCTCCTGCTTACGTAGAGCTAAGAGACAATTATTAATCTGCATGGAACTCACGTGATTTCGCGCCGTTGTCTGTACCCCACCAAGCGCTGCAGCAACGTAAAATGACAGGGGACGCGAGGACGCGATGTGGGAAAGGGGAGGAAGAGATTTGGCTCATTGCAGGCGTAAAAATGTATGAAATAACCACGAATTGCAATAGTTCTGTCCTTATTAAAGTCATACGAGTCAAGTGAATTCCTACAACTCCCTCCAATCACCAGCATAACCCTCCATATCTACCAGTCAAAGCATCAAACGGGGCGTTGCCTCAGGTTTCAGGCGGGGCTCTTTTAATGGATTGCGGCGTTGCCTGTCGCTGTCTGTCGCGCTAAGAACTTGGCGTCGCGTCTCTGGACGCGACTCCCTTAAAACCTTCTCGACCATCCACGCGAAATTTGCTTCTCTCATCTCCTCAACAACCACAACAAAATACAACGAATCTTATAATAATTCTCACATTCTCTTTGACCGAAGCGTCATTACCCCTTCGGAAGCTCTTCTGCCTTTTAATCTCCTCCATCAGCAGGAATAGATCCTGCTATAACCTCAAATCCGAACTGCCCTCCCCGCCTCTTCCTCCCTCACCCGCAATCATGTTCGTCAGAAAGAGAGGTATGTATGATCTGGCAACATGAGAACTCATGATCACTGACTTGGTTCATTAGATGGACGCCAAGAACGTGTCCAGTTCGACAAGATCACTGCTCGTGTCTCGAGACTGTGTTACGGTCTTGACATGGACCACGTTGACCCCGTGGCCATCACTCAGAAGGTTATCTCCGGTGTCTACGGAGGTGTCACTACCGTGCAATTGGACGATCTTGTAAGTGACTCACTCATCATGACCACTTCAAACACAAGCTAATTGACCCCTAGGCCGCCGAGACTGCTGCATACATGACCGTCACACATCCCGACTATGCCATTCTTGCCGCCCGCATTGCCGTCTCCAACCTCCACAAGCAGACCAAGAAGCAATGGTCCGCTGTTGTGAGCGACCTCTACCACTATGTGAACCCCAAGAACGGACGGCCGTCGCCCATGATCTCCAAGGACACTTATGAGTGCGTCATGCGACATAAGGAGGAGTTGGACTCTGCCATTGTCTATGACCGCGATTTCCAATACCAATACTTTGGCTTCAAGACTTTGGAGCGATCATACCTCCTCAAGATTGACGGTAAGATTGTCGAGCGGCCTCAGCACATGATCATGCGTGTGTCTGTTGGTATCTGGGGTGATGATATCGAGCGAGTCTTGGAGACATACAATCTGATGTCCAGCAAGTTCTTCACGCATGCTTCCCCCACGCTCTTCAATGCCGGTACCCCTCAGCCCCAATTGTCATCATGCTTCTTGGTTGATATGAAGGACGACAGTATTGAGGGAATCTACGATACTCTCAAGACCTGTGCCATGATCTCCAAGATGGCTGGTGGTATTGGTCTGAATGTGCACCGTATCCGTGCTACTGGTTCATACATCGCTGGTACCAACGGTACATCGAACGGTGTTGTTCCTATGCTTCGTGTCTTCAACAACACTGCTCGGTATGTCGACCAGGGCGGCAACAAGCGACCCGGTGCTTTTGCCATCTACCTCGAGCCTTGGCACTCTGATGTATTCGATTTCCTTGATCTCCGTAAGAACCACGGTAAGGAGGAGGTCCGTGCCCGTGACCTTTTCCTTGCCCTTTGGATTCCTGATCTTTTCATGAAGCGTGTTGAAAAGAACGGTGACTGGACACTGATGTGCCCCAATGAGTGCCCTGGCCTCGCCGACTGCTACGGAGAGGAGTTCGAGGCTCTGTACGAAAAGTACGAGAGGGAGGGCAAGGGTCGCAAGACCATCAAGGCTCAGAAGCTTTGGTACGCCATTCTTGAGGCCCAGACTGAGACCGGAAACCCATTCATGCTCTACAAGGATGCTTGCAACCGCAAGAGCAATCAAAAGAACCTCGGTACCATCCGAAGTTCCAACCTTTGCACTGAAATTATCGAGTACTGTGCCCCCGACGAGGTCGCTGTCTGTAACCTTGCCTCTCTGTCTCTGCCCTCCTTCATCAACTACGATGAGGCTTGCTACGACTTCAAGAAGCTGCACAAGGTCAGTCAGGTTGTTATTCGCAACCTGAACAAGATTATCGATGTGAACCACTACCCTGTCCAGGAGGCTCGCAACAGCAACATGCGCCACCGACCCATCGGTCTTGGTGTTCAGGGCCTTGCCGATGCTTTCCTTGCTCTGCGTATGCCCTTCGAGTCACCCGAGGCTCGTGAGCTCAACAAGCAGATCTTTGAGACCATTTATCACGCTGCCCTCACTGCCTCCGTGCAGTTGGCTAAGGAGGAGGGCCCCTACTCCACCTTCAAGGGTTCTCCCGCCTCTGAGGGTATCCTCCAGTTTGACATGTGGAACGTCAAGCCCTCTGACCTCTGGGACTGGGAGACTCTTCGAGAGGAAGTCAAGACACACGGTATCCGTAACAGTCTGCTCCTTGCTCCTATGCCTACTGCCAGTACTTCCCAGATTCTGGGCAACAACGAGTGCTTCGAGCCCTACACATCCAATATCTACCAGCGCCGTGTTCTCGCTGGTGAGTTCCAGGTTGTCAACCCCTGGCTGCTCAAGGACCTTGTCGACATGGGTCTGTGGTCCGATGCTATGAAGAACCGCATCATTGCTGAGAATGGTTCCATTCAGAACATTCCCAACATCCCTGCCGATGTCAAGGCCCTATATAAGACTGTTTGGGAGATTTCTCAGCGCCAGGTCGTCCAGATGGCTGCTGATCGAGGTGCCTTTATTGATCAGTCCCAATCACTGAACATCCACATGAAGGACCCCACGATGGGCAAGATCACCAGTATGCACTTTGCAGGCTGGAAGCTTGGCCTCAAGACTGGCATGTACTACCTTCGTACACAGGCTGCTGCTGCTCCTATTCAGTTCACTGTTGATCAGCAGGCTCTCAAGCTTGCCGATTCCAATTCGGCTCAGATCAAGCCTCTGAAGAAGCGTGCTCCTCCTGCTGGTTCAAGCTACCTCATGTCCTCCCCCTCAACTATGGGACGTACTGAACTTAACGGTAGCAGGACTGGCTCCCAAGACAGCGGTTTGAATGGCAATGCGGCCAAGGGCCTGAATGGTACTACGACGGTACCCGGACGTGCACCCACCATCAAGGCTGATGTTGAGGAGGGTGACAGCCCTAAGGCTCTTCCCACTGAGCCTGCCGAGAAGGTTCAGGAAGAAGAGCTGGGCATCAAGAAGAATCCTCAGTCTGAGGATCAAGACAAGGACAATGAGGATCGTGAGCGCGATATCTACTCGGAGGCCGTCCTGCAGTGTGAGTGACAAACGTTCTTTCGGCGTGAATTGAGATACTAATCGTGCAACAGGCAGCATTGAGGATCCCGAGTCCTGCATTATGTGCAGTGGTTAGAAAACAGCAAGAGCTGTCTACGCACGTGTACTTATGACGATGGATGAGTTGAAAACGAAGACATGTTTTGGGGGGCATGCTACGATACAGCGAGGGAAAGGTAATTTGATGTTTGGTTATGTATGGGCATATTGGGCGGCAATGATCCCCCTTTGGCATGCTTATACCGGAGTATATTGTTAGGTTAATGATATTGAGACCATGGAAGTCTGCTCTTGGAGCTGCAGTCGTTATTGACTTAGATATTTTATGCTGATGCTTGCGCATTTGAATAATATTTTGATGTTGAATATTTCGTTATTCTGTGTTGCTTTCTGTAATCCATGGATACTTTGGCCTGTACATGAGACGACCTGGGGTGATGGGCGTTGACAATAGTCGTGGCAGTCAACTAGAGCTAGCGTTAGTAGGTAATTGTTTTCGATTGAATTCGAAGCCTTTCCCGTTCTTCTTGATATCTAAAGGCACACAGTCAAGGGTAGCTGCAGTTGGACGAAGATCGTTGTCGCTATCGAGACTGCACCTTTGTGGTTGGCACGACACCTGAACATGCAAGCTCAGCTGAATGTGGTGATCAGCAACAGTCTACTCCGTAGCCAGGCAAGTTAAAGGTCTACGGGCTCGTGCATCGATAATTCGACAACGGAGCTGGATATCCTTGTCTATCACAATTTACAGACAGCTCTTGAAGACTTGAACTACAGTAGTTCAGGACTTTAGTCTAGAGCCGTCGATTATTACTGTATGCTACGAGGTCTGAACAACAAAGCCACCCTGGAGCATACCCAATTGGGCAATTTACTGCATTTCCAGGTGTTAGGCCACACTCTAATCACCAATTGGTCATGTTGCGACGGTTTACGAAAAGTGACCCCCGTCCCAATGAGGTATTGTCTAGTCTCAGAGCCAGGTCCTTTGCGATTGGGCTGCTGGAAATGAAAGGGACTCGGAGAGGGCTGGTGACCTCCAAAGCGCTGCCAAATTGGAGATGGCGAGACATTACGACGTCGCAGGGAGGACCAGCCACAATATGCGAGCTGAACTGCAAGTTAGACAGTGGCTGGTGTCTCAAGTTTATGAGATGCTTCGATCGGAGCGATGTTCCGGCTTCCAAGGGGCCGATATTTGTCGCACTTTGTTTTTAAGCATCTCCATGAGATTGACAATTTTAACCATGGCGATGATCGGACGACAGTTGAACAGGAATGAAACATGAAACAGAATTCCCGATAGGAATTGAGTTCAATGAACTGACAACCAAGATCGTCACAATGACGAGACGGAAAACGTGGCATTGAGATGAAGAGGCAACTCCCGAGGCCCAAGAGGCGGAGGGATGGATATTGGTGAAGGTATCCGTACCTCAGTACCCAATATCGAGCAAGGCTCAAAAGACAAGGCCCAGGCTGGTCTGTCCAGCTCGACAGGGCCTTGAGGGCCTTGAGCCATTCGCTGGGGTAAAAGCTTGGGCCAAGAGAGAAAACAGACGATGATGCGATGGATGACATCAAGAACCCGCCAGTTGAGCTAACCCCCTGTTCACTTGGTTCGCTTGGCGTGTGGCTTGAGTGGCTTGGCCCGTTGAGTGGCTAGTCTGGGCACAGTTCATCAAAGCCAGCTGAGCAGGGAATCGAGCATCACAATCACAGACAGCCCAGGGTTTGTACTGTACTGGCTGACTCGTAGGTAGTGAAAGTTCTCGATGGGTACAGAGTGGGACGAGTTGATGAAGTGGATGAGTCGGTTCAAGTGGGGTAAGCATCATCGAAAGATCAGGCTTGAGGAGAATGATGCTGTAGATGATGTTAAGCGAAAACCTGACGACAAGACACAACCACAATGCGAAATTGATACCGAGATTACCATGATTGCACGGACAAATGATAATCAACAAATAGAAAGTCAGATGTGAGGCCCAATAAATTGCACTTGTCTGTTCCTGAGACATGTACGCACCACCACCACCACCATCACCATTGACACCATCTCCTCTGATTCAGGAATCGAGAAGAAAGTTCCCAGAGGACAAGAAAAAAAAAAGAACATGATTCCGCTTCCCGGTTGCCAGGGAGTCAAAAGTTGGCTAACACCTCAGCTTGTTTTTGTGTGGTTGCCAAGGATGGATGAGTACAGGGGTAATTGGCCAATCGGAGAGAGCAGCAACGCCACTGGCCAACGACGACGAACCTCACTCTCGATAATTGGAGATGCGATATCACACGTACTATGAGCTACTGCTACATATGGGTGGTCGTTGGAAGATGGAAATCCGGGATAGTGTTTAGATGAAACCGTGGTACTTGATTGTGATTGCCTGGCAAAGATGGAGGTTGCCGTGGCAGGAGCATAACACAACATCAATTGCACTGAACTGAGCTGGGCAAGTAAGGTACCTTCCATAGCCCAGGCTACCTAGGGGAGAAAAGAAAACTCAGGACCTTGACCTAAAGCGATAAAAATATTAGGTAAATCTAGCCTAAGCTTAAGGTATTCTTTGCTAAGTTTATTTTGACACCTTATATCAAGGTTCGGTGTTTTCTTGCCCCTTGAGGCCAGGGTACGGATACTGATTGTTGGCAATCGTCATACCCATTTTCCTTCCTTCATGCTCCTGTGGCCGTTATCCGGCTCGGCGTACGAGTTCCTTCCTGGTTGCCTCAATCAATTCATTTAGGTATTCACGGCGACCTAAGAAGAGTTCCGTCATAGACGGGAGCTGATCCAGTTTTCTAGTCTGGTGTGATCAATTTCAAGTTTGCATCTTTTTGCCTCCACAGACTGTATTGGTGGTAGGACCGATATCCCAAAGTTTGGCTAGCAAAGAAGCACAGAAACTACCACGTACGCGCTATTGGCAAACCAAACGAGGACATCGAGTTTTGAATATCAATTTGTTCTCGCATCAGCTCCCGTCCGGTTTCAAAGCCCCAGGCGCCATGTTGTGGGTGCCGATGCGGGTGGTTGGCGATCTAGCGTGGCAGCCCGTCCAGCTACCACCCACCTTGACCTCTTTTTCCATCTCATATGCTGCAGCTTCCCTGATAATATCCGTAGTTGCTGATGAAACTGAAACTTTTACTGGGTAAGGTAGCTTGCTTTGTCGATTTCTTTACGGAGTACCCCGCTGTAGATATCATAACGTCAAAGCCCATGTGTTCCCCCGGGTGAAAATACAAGAATCTTGAGTGTAAGAACTTTAACTGTGAGACCCTCGCAGTCACTTACACCAGCGTCACTGACGTGGACAAGTTGCTGTAAAAGCCGCTCCCCGCTGTGACAGGGGTAACCCATCTCGTCTCCAGCTCATGCTCTGACCTCATTGTGTATCTCCAATTACGGCATTGACGTCTGATTTGTATACCCAATCTTCGATTGCATTGACTCAATTATCATGGCGGAGTAAATTCGCAAATGAGAAATTGCTTGGCTCATCGTAATATCCTTCTGTCGTTGACAAAACACCCCCGTAAAACAACATCATAATCAACATGGGGGCCTCCAAGTGCCTGGCCCTGTCCGTCTGTGCTGAAATCTGTGTCTTTGACGGTCCGGCCCAGTGGAGTGGTCTTTCTAGCTTCCCCGCCAGCAACTGAGCCTTGACTGGACTGGGTCGTATTAGCGTTGGCCCCTCCCGTGCCATGGGTGGTCTCCCTGCAGGCGGTATCCAAGCCAAGCAGCAAGGTACCTACTGACCCAGGTGCAGATTTACGCTTCAATCTGTGATGGCAGTTTCCCTCCCACTCTAAGAGAGACCGTACGTAGTGACAAGGCAAGATCAAGCCCGTGCCGTGCTTGCCCTGCTAGACCGCCAATGCCAGCCAAGCTGGGAAACACACCGTTTAGGCAGGGGACCCTGCCTGCACTTGCCTTACCAGCCGACAAGCACTGCTCGCTCCTGCAAAGCAAGCAACCGTCACGCCAAGATCAAGAT